CATAGGGTTTCTCTCCTGTGTGAGTCCTCTGGTGTTTCACCAGGTGGGAATTCTGACTGAAACTTTTTCCACAATGACATTTATATGGTTTCTCTCCTGTGTGAGTCCTTTGATGGTTCACCAGGTAGTAATTCTTACTAAAACTTTTCCCACAATGACATTTATATGGTTTCTCTCCTGTGTGAGTCCTTTGATGGTTGACCAGGACAGATTTCGAAGAGAAATCTTTCCCACACTCTGGACACTCATAGGGTTTCTCTCCTGTGTGAATCCTTTGATGGTTCACCAGGTGGGAATTCTGTCTGAAACGTTCCCCACAATGACATTTATATGGTTTCTCTCCTGTGTGAGTCCTTTGATGGTTGACCAGGACAGATTTCGAAGAGAAATCTTTCCCACACTCTGGACACTCATAGGGTTTCTCTCCTGTGTGAGTCCTCTGGTGTGTCACCAGGTTGTATATCTGACTGAAACTTTTCCCACACTCGGGACACTCATGTGGCTTCTCTCCTGTGTGAGTCCTCTGGTGTGTCACCAGGGTGTATCTCTGATTGAAACGTTTCCCACACTCCGGACACTCATATGGTTTCTCTCCTGTGTGAATCCTCTGGTGTGTCATCAGGTGGGAATTTCGACTGAAACTTTTCCCACACTCTGGACACTTATAGGGTTTCTCTCCTGTGTGAGTCCTCTGGTGTGTCACCAGGTTGTATATCTGACTGAAACTTTTCCCACACTCCGGACACTCATATGGTTTCTCTCCTGTGTGAGTCCTCTGGTGTATCACCAGGAGGGACTTTCGACTGAAATCTTTCCCACAATCTGGGCACTCATATGGTTTTTCTCCTGTGTGAATCTTCTGGTGTATCACAAGGTTTGAATTGTGACTGAAACCTTTCCCACAATCAGGACAGTCATATGGTTTCTCTTCTGCATGAGACCTCTTGTGTCTTACCATATTAGTGTGCATGCTAAATCTTTATAACATTGGGTCATCTGGTAGAGCTTCTCTCCAGTATGGGTCCTTTCATGAACCATAAGGGAACTACTCTGAGTAAAGTTTTTGCCGCACTCCAAACATTTGTATCATTTTCACTGGGTGGATCATCTCCTGCATAATCAGCTGTGATCCGCAACCTCTATTTTTCCCACATTAGGCAGTCTGTGGTGTTTTTTCAACACTGATATGCTTGGATTCTTAAGAAGGCCAAAAATGTTTCTGATCTCTTACTTGGAGGTTCTTTGAGTCAAGGTCAAGTCTTCCTGAAAGGGTTTAATTAATGCCTGTCCATTTTGGCTATCCAAGGAACCTTCCTTCCCACTGACTTCCAGTTATGTCCACTTTTTAAAAAAATTCAATATTATCCCCTTGACTTCTTATGTCATGTTCCCTTGAGTTGCACATGCTCTATTTTTTCCAGCTCAAAACTTTGTTCTTGTTATTCTCTCCCTTGTCTCTCATCAGGTGAGACAGGAGAAGAGTTTTCAAAATTTCTGGAGGAAGCAGAAAAGGTTTTGATTGATTCTTTGTCTTGCATTTTAATGCTGCTTCTCATTCTCTGTGGTCCAGAGTGTTCTTCTTGGCATCCTCTTTGTCTGTAAGATTCATATTAACAAGTCAGTTTCATTATTGTTTAACAAATGGGTGCAGGACATGTGAAAGCAGCAAAAAGAAAATCCTTATATTAGCATAAAAACATCAAAATTCTAGTTTAACTCCCAACGTTATTTATGATTCATCTGGCAGATAGAAGACTAGCAAAACCCAAATTAAAATATTGATTCAATTATAAAATTATTTTGGCTTGGATAGATCACACATATATGAACACACATGCCCACAGAAATAGACACCTAAGATTGATGTATGTCTGTGTGCCTACGAGTCCGTACATCAGTTAGAATAGAGCTGGAAGGGACCTTGTAGATCTTCTAGCCCAACCCCCTGCTCAAGCCGGAGACCCTATACCATTTCAGACAAGTGGCTGCCCAGTCTCTTCTTAAAAACCTCCATCGATGAAGCACCTACAACGTCTGGAGGAAACATCACCACCAAATGCATCTGTAGCTGGCTGGCAAAACATACTCAATGAGTAGTCCTCAAGGGCACTACATCCACATGGAGAGAAGTAAGCAGTGGGGTATCACAAGGTTCCGCCTTAGGCCCAGTACTCTTCAACATCAATGACTTAGATGAGGGAATTGAAGGGGAACTCATCAAATTTGCAGATGACACCAAACTGATAGGAGTAGCCAACACCCCAGAAGACATACTCAGGATCCAAAAAGATCTTGACAAAGCTGAACAATGGGCCCTATCCAACAAAATGAGTTTCAATGTGGAAAAAAGCAAAGTTTTACATTTAGGCAGGAAAAATCAAAGGTACAAGTACAGACTGGGCAAAACCTGGCTTAAAAACAATAACTATGAGAGGGACCTTGGAGTCCTAGTGGACGATCACTTAACCATGAGCCAGCAGTGTGCAGCATTAGCCAAAAAAGCCAGCCGTGTGCAGAATTAGCTAATCCTGGGTTGTATAAACAGCGGCATAGAATCAAGATCACGCAAGGTATTAGTACCGCTTTATAAAACCCTAGTAAGACCACACCTAAAATATCACAAATAATAATAATAATAATAAATCTTTATTGATTAGCCCTTGGGCCATATCAAAGTGCAAAGTTCCAGCAACAAATTATTACTAACATTTGATAAAAGCAATTTAAAATGAAATTTGATAAAACACAGTTTAAAATGGAACTAGAGTAAAATACGAGTTAAAATGAAATTGGAGTAAAATACAATCTAAAATGAAATTAAAATAGAGTACACTAATTTAAAATATAGATAAAATATGATTAAATTATATCTTGGAGTCAATCTTGCAATCTACCCCAATCAGTCAGTCCCACATATGCAGATCTCAACCGAACCATTTTGTTTAAATACTGTGCTGCGTTAAATGTTATTTTCAAGTTCTGGCCGCACATAATGTAAATTGTTTTGATATGGGGATCCCAATGAATCATTCATTTACCTCTTGTATAGGTAACAAGCAAATAGTATGTGAGCCAGGTCTTCTACCTTTGGCACTCCGCAAATGCAGAAACGCTCATTGTAAGATATAGAATGGAATCTCCCATATCTGACCATTGTGTCAAGCTGTTCGAACCTCGCTCGCGTAAATATCTCCCTAAGGTGTTTTGGCAGTTGTAACTTCAAATAGCTGTCTACTTGAAAAGTATGTTTGTATTTACTCAGCCATTTCAAGTTATCCACCTTAGTAAGGATCGCTATATCATTTTGTGCTTCTATATCCTTAATTCTTTGGGCAGCTCCTTTTTTGAATTGTTCTCCTGTTACACAAGAGACAGGAAGACCACAGCGTCTTACAAAATTTGTTGATTTGGTGATCCAGGAGATTTGTGATTGTAATTTTATTTGCTCTAGTAGACATAACTTGGGGAGTCTATCATTCTCCATTTCATTGACTTTGCACCAGTTGTTATAAGCTCTAATTTTGGATAGAGCATGAATTGTATGAATTCCCAATTCAACTCTAACTGCTGCAGCAGATGTTCTTGAATCTACACCCAGAATACATCTCAAATGCTGGGACTGTGTTTGTTCTAAGACTGTGGTTAAGACCTCAAACTTCTGCTCCATACAACAGCATAGTGGTAACCTTAGCTTTATATACCTTAATTAATGGGGCTAAGGACCCTGGGTAACTATGGTTCTTTAGTTTAAGCAATAGATTCAGGCGGGCTTTTGCTCTAAATGAACTTCATTGATGATGGCAAACCCAAGATCCAGTCTTGTTATGCCCAGATATACAAAGGTTCAATTGGTTCACCATCTAATTGCCACTTACGTCTCTGAAAATACTGCAGCCAATTTTGGTCACCATATCACAAAAAAGATGTTGACAGTTTGGAAAAAAATCAGAGAAAAGCAACTAAGATGATCAAAGGCCTCGAGACTAAAACATAGGAAGAACAGCCGCAGGACTTGAGTTTGGCTAGTCTAAATAAAAGAAGAAATAGGGGAGACATGATAGCAGTATTCCAGTATTTGAGGGGCTGCCACAAAGAAGAGGGAGTCTCGCTATTCTCCAAAGCACCAGAGGGCAGGACAAGAAACAATGGTTGGAAACTGATCAAAGAGAGAAGCAACCTGGAACTAAGGAGAAACTTCCTGACAGTGAATAGCTTGCCCCCAGAAATCGTGGGTGCTCCATCACTGGAGATTTTTAAAAAGAGGCTAATAACTTGTCTGAGATGTTATAGGTTCTCCTGTTTGAGCAGGGGGCTGGACTAGAAGACCTCCAAGGTCCCTTCCAGCTCTATTCTATTGTCACTGTTAGGAAGTTTCTCCTTAATTCCAGGTTGCTTCTCTCCTTGATTACTTTCCATCCATTGTTTCTTGTCTTGCCTTCTGGTGCTTTAGAAAACATATTGACCCCCTCCTCTTTGTGGCAACCCCTCAAATATTGGAACAATGCTATCATGTCCCCCCCCCCCCCAATCCTTCTTTTCTCTAGACTGGCCATACCCAAATCCTGCAACCTTTCTTCGTATGTTTAGTCTTCAGGCCTTTACATTTTAGCTTCGCCCATCTCCCAGCAGAAAACTAGAGACAGAAGTTTTAAATCATACAGCGTAAGTGTAATAGTGTTTGGAAAAGGGAATATTATACAGTAGCAGCCGACATGTTTCAGCCTAGTTGCTTCTCTGCTTTTACACCCCGGAGGAAACAAGGCAGTTCTATTTGCTCCTGGTTTCTCCTCCGAACTCTCAACTCACCTTCCAGCTGCTGCTTCGACCCTGGGAAGAGTACGAGAGCCGCTCTACATGTCTCCATCCTTCCATGGATAAACCGGAAGAGGAAGTTCCCTTGCCCTTCTCCTCTCATCGACATCCTTTCTAACAATACTCTATGCTTTTAAAGCCTTTCACCTCAGCTCCTCTCCCTCCAGTTGGATGACGCAACTCATCCACCACCCACGCTGCTGTTAAGATTGACAGTTTTCCAGCCGCTAGTGTTGTGTTAGAGCGCCACCTAGTGACGTAAGGCTGAAAATACGCTCACTCTTGTCCCTGGCGTTTCTAAGATGTTTTAATTAAGAGCCGTTTTCCTCTCTTAGTGACCACATCCATAACTTTTCTCCAGGACCATCTAGCCCTTGTCTGTCCTTTGGGGTTTCGCAGGGACCATCCCAACCTATCCAAAGCGCCTAAAGCGAATACATTATTTCCCACCCCGATTACATCTCCCATTGTTCAAATTCTATCCCCCTCTGCCTTTATTCACAAATTACCTTTTATGGCTACTAGTTCCTAGGCAGCTTGTCTGTAGAGCAGGGGGAGGCAACCTTGCCTCTTTTATGACTCCTGAGCCAATTCTGGGAGTTGAAGTCCACGAGTAATAAAAGAGCCAAGGGTGCCTACCCCTTCTATAGAGTAACTATCGTATCAGCAAATTCTGGTTAAGACCGGTTTCTAGCCTAGCAGAGGCCTTCCTATGTACAATTCTCAAGCTTCAGGGAGACTCGTGAAATTAGAAATATGTGCAATGTATTTTCTTCACAGGCTAGCAGGTCTTCTTACAGTTCTGTAAAAACAATAGGCCTTTCCCCCCAGAAATCCCTTTTTCTTTTCATACTTTCTATTGATTTTTACATTCATATTTCTCAAATTGTTGCAACATTTTTCCAACATCTTCACTCGTCTTTCATTTTCCATCCAATCATAGTCTTTACAACAAACCGTTATTATTGGTCTACACTGCAAACAACAATTTATCATTCTAATTATTAATATTCAAATTCCCAACACTACTAATGGTTTTACCCATCCGGCCAAGTTAGGGATCCAATCATTGAGTCCTTTCAAGGGATTCCAACCATCCTTCCCTATGGCCCTAGCCTTTTGTTGTAATTTATTGATTTGTTCATGATGTTCGCAATAATTTCAGAATAATCAGGTACATCTTAGCTAGTATGATGTACCCAAACACAACAACTATAATCAATTTG